ATAAAAATGTTAAAAATATTTTAAAATTACAAAAAATATTTTAAAAGCAACATTTTCAAAATATTTTGGTCTAAGAAAAGCAAGGAATATGTTAAATTATTTTTGTTAATAGAATTTTGACCTAGAAATGATGGTTATGTATTTTTTTTATTAAAATTAGTTTTAAAAAATACCTATATTTCGTATATATTACCTACATAATTACTTAATAGTAATTCCTTAATTTCTAACCTTTAATTAATATGATTTCTTTCTTTAAAGCTTTCCCTTGGTTTTAATTTAAATTAAACACATAGCTTAAATTTTAAATAAATAAATTAACCTAATATATTCTTCAATTTAACAATGATACATTAATATTACCCCCTTCCTGTATTGATTTTCCTCCTAATTTCCATAGAAAAAGGCATCGCTTCATCCCAATCAATAAAAAAGACCCAGAGACTCTCGACTCGATTAAATTTAGATCAAAGTCACTGGAGTTAATGACGTATGATAAATGCACACAATCGTATAGTATACATTGACGTATATCGATGGGGTTACCACCGATTTGAAGGGGTTAAATGGTGGTCAACCCTCGGAATCCAACAGGTGAGTGGGTGGTGCTTCTGCATGACTGACCACTGACCTTAAAATCCTATTTTACAAACGTCATTCGAGGAGGGAACATTTTATTTAAATTCAAGAAACAAAATTCGAGTGCTCTTAATTTAAAATAGAAGCTCTACTGAACTCTAAAGCTTAAACTCTTATTTATTTAATTAAATAAACTCGTATGCTTAGGTGTTAAAGGGCGGCACATTCTTGATTCTTTTACTTTTTCTCTGGTTTTTATTTATTTTGTGCGTTGTGCGTTTGTCAAGTGCAGGTTGAAATTCAAGTTGCCTAATAACTTAAAACCCCAAGCAGCTTTAATGGCCATAATTCGTCTTGGCCAAGTCTCTCTCGAGCCGACCTGAGGAGGAGAAGAAGTACGAAGAACGCACAACGCCAAAAGGAGTGTCGTTGCTATTGCTTTTGTTGTTATTGCTGTTGTTAGTGCAGTGTTAATGTTAATGTTGTTGTTGTTGTAGCAGCACTATTGACAGTATTGATGGAAATTCTTTTGTGTTTTACGAAAAAAAAAACGTATAAGAACGAAGAAAGTGAAGTCTGCAGGTAAAAAAGAGAAGTTTGAATGCTCTATAATTTTTTTTTATTTTTACTGCACAAATTATAATTTTTAAAATAATCTAATATCACTAAAAATTTTAATAATATTAGTATCGGATTTACTAACATTTTAGGAACATTATTATATTAGTTTTATATTAATTTTAGCGCTGCTATATTAGAAACTGTTAGTTCTTAAATGAATAAATACATTAATAATAATTATAATATTATTCAGATATATATAAAATCTTCTCCTCTAGATTCCCTAACTTTATTTTCCCCCACTTTACAGGGTATCTTTTGGGGTGGCAAAGAAGCGACGCGCGCTGTTTACTCTTTCCTAGCCAGCAAATGAAAGCCCAACGTGGACCGTTGCTGGTGTCGCTTATGTGGACAGGTGCAGTGCCCAGGTAAATGCCTGAATGTGTGTGTGTGTGTGTTTGCCTCCGTTCTGTTTCGAATGCCGCAGCCAATACCCCGGCCAATAGCAATACCCATAACCGGGGCCCAAACCCATGGCCCCCGACTTCTGGGCCCAAAACGAACAGTTATGCAAATCGAGAAGAGGCGCACCTCCTACTCCCACTCGATACCTTAACTTCTTGTGTTTTTTTGTAGGGTTTTGTTTTTCCCCCTTTTTTTTTTGTTTATTTAGCGCCTAATACCCAAGTTTATGTCGCTTAATTATAGGCCCTAAGCAGCCGCCTTTAACATGCTAATCGGCAGCAGCAAACCCTTGTCATCCTTTTGGCGGTGTCGGGTGACGGTGACCTTCTTCTCATCAGTGGTCAGTGGCTAATGGGTATCTAGCGGGCGAAATTCTAGTAGCTTGGGAGCGGAAATCCGCGCTGCGAAAGTCACCGTTTGGGTAATCAATAGTTTAGATCGATCCCACATCGATCGCTGCTTTGCCTAATTTGGCCAACTATTAAGCGGATTTGGCCAATTCAGAAGCAGTCAGAATCGCTCCGAAGATCTGCTTTTAATAAGGTCTAAATAGCTCTCAGCTCTGAGCGATTAATTTGCCATAAAAGTTGGGCTTTAATTGGCCAACGAGTGGGAAGTTTGGAGCGTTAACTAACGAAAGTGTTGGCCAAGTAAATACATTCTGAATATACTCTAAAAAAATATTTTACTTTAAAGAAAGTCTTAAAATTTTATTTTTATGTACATTTTTTTAATCAAACTTACAATATTTTAACAAATATTTCCCCAGTGTGTAACATAACATGAAAATGCTGCAAAGAAACTATCTGCAACTGACATTGGGAGATAAGAGTGCAAAAAAGCACACATTTCCAGCTGCACTTTGGCCTTTGCACGAATTTTGAATGCCACGTGGACTACATTCAAGAGTGACCGACCCACCCAACAGGTGGGCTGTGGTGCTTCAACTTTTTATGTGGTTGGATTTTCCGGTGGGCGGTAGTTGTCCTTCAGCGTCGTCGTCCTTTCAACTCTGACATTAAGGGATGCAAATGTGTGAGAGTGAGTGGATGCTTCGATTAAAACCACTTGCCCGACATATAGGCTGTCGTATCTGATTATTAAGAGCTTCCATAATGCATTCCATTTAACAGGTATTTTAATTGCATTATAAGTTAAGAGCACGCTGTTGTTGTCAGAACGAATATTGAAGTATCTAACGCCCTGTAAAATTGTGAGAGGTAATTGATAGCTATGAAATATTTACCACCTAAATTTAAGATTATTTTTCTACCCTAGCAGAATTTTACAATTTTATTCAAAAGCTTGCAAAGTAATGAAGGAGTCATTTCCGACCCCATAAATCATATATATTCTTGATCAGCATTAACAGGAGAATCTTTCTAGACATTTTGGAAGAAAAAAAATTTTTTTATTTTTTTCAAAATTTTATAAGGGGTAACATCATCAAAATTGGCAAAAATCGCTAAAAATTTGAATCTCTTAAAAAATTAAAGTAAGTATGCAGATTTGTTAACATAGAAAAAACAAGCATAAAAAAGCTTACCGCATTGAATTTGATGCTTTTTTGACTTAGTTATGATATTTTTACGTTTTCATATTCCCAAAAATTATCATAGAAAATTATGGATAAATATTTAAATTGTAAAAGAAACCCTCAAAGGGGTTTTATATTCACAGTCAGAAGCATTTTTTGCTTATTTATTGTTTTTATATTCCCGTCTTCATACGTCTAAATAATATAAAGATAACTAAATTTAAAAAGGGTGTAGTTTTCCTTTTAACATATATGAATGAAATGATCGTTTTTTATTATTTTAGCTATTATTAATATATATTTTGTTATTCGTCAAAATTAATATATTTTATTATTCATTTCACAATATATTTCTTCTGGTAATATTTACTATTGTCGCTCATTTACTCTTTCACTCAATTTATCTCAATAGCTCCACTTGTTGCGCTCAGCGAGAGAGTAAGATTGAGATTCCACTCTCTTTCGCTCAAGCGCTCAACCAGTGTACAGTGGGGCGTTTAGTTGTTAACCAGCAAATAAAATTGATTTTCTGTCTGGCATAATTGATCATTTGAACAATTTTCTCTAATTATTGTATTAACAAATATTTAGAAGTCTACGAGTAATACGGAATCTCTTGGGTCCCTTCTAAAAACATTTGGTTTTCGGTGTACATTCTAAAGAAGATCATTGTTTGGCCTAAACTGTTGTCTGAAATCCTTAAAATAAGTTCTTTAATGTTAAAAAAAAACATTATAACAATATACAAGAAAGTTATTCAGCTCCATTACTCCTTTAAATTAAGTCTCTGATTTGCCCTGTTCGTCCCACTGTACTGGTCGACTATATAAGCCGAAGCGCAACAAAACTCGTGCTCAGATTTTGTTGTTCCATTCGTCGTCGTCGGAGTCGGAAAATATATTCGAACAATTCGAAATTTAAACTTTATTTTGTTTTCTCTGTGACGCCCGCGTTTTGAATAACTGCCCAACTTCAAGCGTGTTTTTTCGTATTGGGAGTGCGTGTTTTTTGTGTTTTTTATTAAATTTTGTAGTGCAAACAAGAGCAAAGAACAACAATAGAAAGGGAACGAAAAAACCAGAAAAAAAACAAGATTGGAACAAGTGAAGCTTTCGACGTTATCAGTTTGTGGAAAATGTAAAAATGAATTCAAGCGCATAAAGTGTAATAAATAGTAGTAGTGACAAGTTCAAGCGAAATTCCAAACTAAGCTGTTTTTTATTTGTTATTCTCCAAGCTTGCACTGATAATCGAAAAAGAAAGAAAAACAACTGTGTTTGTGCAATTGCAGGAAGAAATGTGCAAAGTCAATAAAGAAATAACTGTTATTCCACACGAGGGAGTCAAAGAGAGAGGGGGAATTGATTGATTTGTAATACTTGTAATATTACCAAGTTCACTGGGCTCAAATAACGCCCTAATGTCAAGGCCTTTGCGCTGGGTGAGATCGGGTTTAAGCTTAAGTCTTAATGGACTTGACCCCCATTTTTTTCAGGGGGGGGGGGCTTAAGCCTAACGAAATCCGCAGCTAGAGTTACAAAAAAGAAACATACGATCAATTTACTCAATTAGAGTTGGGGGCTTTTGGGCTCAGATTGCCAAATTTACACGATAATCAATTTGTTTGTAAATTCAAATTAGTGTATTCTGGTTTATAATAAACAATTTATAATTTTAAAAAATTTTATTTTTAAAGTTTCACATTTAAGAACTCTTTATAAATTTATAAAATTAAAATAAGACTTACTGCCAAAACGGAGGCTTATGAAAATAAATTATATTTTCTTATTTTAATAAAATCAATTCTTATCTCTCTTTCAAAATAAAAGAAATCTATAAATAAAACCCCAAACGACAGAAAAAATAATGATAACAAATAAATAAAACCCTAAATAACCAACAAACGGAGTGCAAAAAAAAATAAACAAACAAAAAAGTTTAGCAACTGTGAAAACGACTTATGAATTTTCACAACAACTTGATGTTTTGTAACGGATTTTCTCGAAACTCGTAAAAACTTTATTTGTGGATTCTTCTGCGGCTTCTTCAACGTTTTTGCTTCTACGGCAAAAAATATATATATATATTGTGATTGTCTGCTGATTTTTGTTTAGTTTTTATTTTCTTGAGGAGAGAACGCAGACGATTAGAGGTAAGTTGTGCTAATTGTTGCTAAATTATTTTAGTTAAGTTTATTTTTAAGGCAATAGCTTCACGGTGAATCATGCGAGGAATCTAGATCGAAGAGAGCTCTTGCCCTTTTATGAATCAGCTTCTTGGGGTGTCCTATATACAGTTCCTGAAAATATTACTAGATGTTCTATAAATAATGGAGATGTGGTGGAATCAGGGGTATAAGCCTTTATATATTTATTTAAATATTAAATTATATAAGCTAATGAAGGATTTAATTGCTGAAATTGCCATTTAAATGTTATGGTTAATTTTAGTTTATCAAAATGTAATTCTGGTTATTTTGGTTATATGGTTTTATAAAAAATTAACTGCTTTAATTAAATTAAATTAGCTCTAACAATAAAGTTGCCGATGTGAGAATTGTATCTATTAATCTGTTAAATACTGATTTATAGCACTGTAAAGTTCATTAGGCTTGTTATTTAATAAATATAAAATATATATATCATTCTCTAAGCCTCTTTAAAATAGTTTCATTCTGCAAGCACTCTCCTCCTATATATAGCAAAAGCTCTGTCAGCTGTCCATCAGATCGGGACAGATCGAGTTGAATAAACCTCTAGACCCCTCGATATATACATATTTCCAACCACAACTGAAAGCGAGAGGCAGTGGCACCTGAACCGAACTCAAACCATAAACCAAAAACCGCTCAGATCTAATGCCGCTGGAATCGCACAAGGTTGTCCATATAGCGGGCTCGTTTTTCTATTTTTTCGATTTTATTTTACTATTTTTCTGTTCACCTGTCTGTCGGCTTTGAACTCGGCACCTGTTGCGGTCACAGTGGCGAGCGCGTACACTGTCAGAGAAAAAGTGTGTGTCCGATTCCAAATGAGTGAGACTGCCTGAAAAAAAGATGGCCTGTGCGAGACGGTGCTCACAGTTCTGCCTGTTTATGAGCACCTGGGCCGTCCTTATGCTGATCATCCTGGGCGCCTGCTTCTCGATCCACTCCTTGGTCCTGGTGGGCGACCTGCCGCTTTCCGGACAATTCGGCAGTCCGGACGAGTTCAAGGAGAGTGCCGACGAGGCGTACTCCAAGGTGGCAATGCGCTGCTACATCACCGGAATCGTTTACCTGGTCTTTCTGGTCATCTCGGCGATTGTCATCCATCGGGACAACAAGCGGAGGAAGCGGCTGTACAAGAAGCGAAAGCAGCAGCGCTAAAGTCGATTTGTTGAATAAATTTATTATATTTCACATTACTTGAACTGCATTTCGATGGCAGCAGCAGCAGCACCCACTCTTGAGCTACTCCCACTTGTTAAACCAGATCGGAGCAAGACCCAGAACAAGACTGAGAACAAGTTTGTTGACCGCATTCTGCGATTAGCCTTAGCTTTTTTATCATTTACCAACTGTGCCTCGGCGGCATTATGCATTCGTCTCGACCAGCTACGATTTTTGACAAGTCTGTCCCCGCCGCACGTGACACCTTTTTTTGACTACCTTTCCCCAAAGACAAGGTGTGCTTCTCCGTCCTCCTCGTCAGCGTCATAAATTTCCGTGAAATTCTCTTTCTTTCCGAAACATGCTAATGGGGTGTGGGTTCTGTTCTCCTAAGGGGTCTCTTCAGTGGGTTCTTATCGAGCTTTTTTGTGAACTACGAACACGAAAACCGTTCTGTAAATTATCGTACACGTTTTTGTCTAGTTGTAAGCGCTGCATTTTGTGTATCTCTCTGGTTATCACCACCAAGTGCAGTCTGCAAGACCGCTAAAAACTGGCTCAAAGATCTAGAAATCCATCAGAGTTTTCGGGTAATTTGATTTACGTGGAAAATGTTCTGAATTACATGTAATATTTCATGAGAAGGTGGAGCTAACAGCGGAATGGAAATCTACTTTTTGATAGATTTATTTTGAAAGTTCTTATGGGATCTTAAAAGTTGTTAGATATTTCTATAATATATTTCCTTGCTATATTTTAGGCTTCAAAAAGTAATAAACTTTTGGCTTGACGCAGCAACATTTGAGTTTCACAACAAATTGTGATTTTTAAGTTGGCCGCTCTAATAAAAATTTTCTATTTTATCAGACAAAAACACTTGGCAAAGAAAAGCCTTTATTTTTACCAAGTTCGCACAAGGTTCCCCCGAGGAATAGTGAAAAAATTAAAGCAGGAAAAGCTCAAGGAGCTGACATTAAGGAACACCATGTCCAGATTTTTAGCAGCGGCCACACAGCAGTTCCAAAAGGGATGTGAGTTAAAGACAAGCTCAATCTTATAAATCAGCTTAGGTTATAAATTTTCCAATTAAAACTCCACCTTCCCGTAGTGCGTTTTAGCCGTGTGCTGATCCACAATACTGGCCAGCACCTAAAGGCGGCCAAGACGCCAACTGCCAACTCCAGGCAAGCGGCTCCACCGCCGCCCAAGTGTCCCGGCGCCAAGCGTAAGCCGGGAACCTTTGCCAGCGGCGGAAAGCATGCCGTCTTCAACGATTGTCCCATGCCCGAGGGCGACTTCATGAGAGCCTGGCACGCCAAGAACACTCGCTACAACATCATTCTGATTACTGGAGCTTTGGCGGCCTTCGGAGGCTGGGGAATGGCCATATCTTCAGGTAGAATTCGTTACAAATAAAATATATGTACTCGTAGCGACGTACACCCCTGATCGCAGGCATTCTCGGCCTTAACTGGAGCATACCTCCGTATCCCTACACCGAGGACGAGAAGGAGGACTTTGAGCTCGAGGAGGAGCGCCGTCGTGAGGAGAGGGAGGCGCGCCAAGAGCGACACCAGGACGCCGTCGAGGCCCGTGAGCTTGCGATTCGCCGCCGGCATGCCAAGGAGGCCATGGAGCGCGAGGTGGAGCTGATGCAGCGCGACATGGACGAAGGCATCTCGGACGAAGAGCTGGATGAACTGCAGCGCCTGGCCGCCGAACGCGAGGCCTTCGAGATGTGGGAAAAGGACGAAATCAAACGGCTCGAGGACCAGCAGAAGGACCGCGAACTGATTCGCAAGGAGAAGGCCAAGGTCCAGGCCGAGCGTGACAAGGAGCGGGATCGCAAGCGTCGCGAGAGGGATGCCCAGCTGGAGAAGGAGGAGGCGGAGCGGGAAAAGGCCCGCAAAGAGGCACGCAAGGAGTGGGAGAAGGCCGAAAAAGAGGCGCAAAAGGAGAAGGAGAAGGCCGAAAAGGAAAAGGCGAAGCTCAAGAAGGCCCAGTCGGGCTAGAGGCTCCTGTCTATAATTTACTAAAACTTACTAAACATTACCAAGAGACACAGATTATCAAAGAAATTGAACCAAAAATATGCAATATATTCGTATTGTTTTAATAAATGCACATAAATTGCTGCTGCTGAATCAAAAAATAACTAAAAATATAGAAAAACATATCAATTTGATAACTCACTAAATTGCTTTTTATTCAAAACCTTTTTTTCCGTAACAATTCAATCCTTTCATTAACTTTGCTTTAAAATTTTTATAAAGTTCTTAAAAATGTCTATAAAAACTAGTCCTCTAAAGCCTTCATTTCCTTAAATTAATTATGGGAAAAGCTGTGCCCATTTCAGAGCTCCTCCTTAACCCATATAGGAAAAGTGAAGCTAATAACACATCTCGTAGGATAGCTACCCTATTAACTACTTAACTGGCCACATGAGGCCATTTCCACCTAGCTTTTGTTTTGGTTTTTCGTTCAGTTAAAAGCCAGATTCTAGACTCCAGTTTGGAGAACATAGAGCATATACACTTGGAGAGCACAGTTCGTGGAGGAAATGGCTCATTGCATATAATCAAAGGCAGTGCCAGCGAAATTGTATCTCGTAGATACATCGCGCAACGCAGGGGAACTATTCAATTGGGCCTTCAATTACAATGGGCACTTGTTGTTCTGTTCGCTCTAATAAAATAATGCTGCCTCTTTGATTCGACTCGGATCGTACATACACATATATGTAGATATTCAGAACGTGTGCATTTCCCCCTAATCTATTTAATGAAAATTCGCTACCGATAGATCCCCAGATCCCTGCTAAGTGTGCCTGCCTTGTGCGCACATAATGAATCACAATCGTCGTCAGTTAAGTCCGGCTTATCATTAATCAAATTAGCTGCAGCAACATTGCCACAAAACACTTGCTTGTCTGCCACCGCAGCTTGCAGCTTGCAACTTGCAGCAATGCAGCACAGTGGGTCGCATGTGGCGAGCAAATTAACCATTACCATGTGCCACAAATGAGCAATTGCCCCTCTCTCGCGAGGGGGAGAGGAGAGCTTATCAAATGGAGTAGAACAATCAATTAGTGCGGACCGAGGCGAGGAAAACTATGGTTCAGTGGGGTTCACTGACCCCCAGATGGAAGGTGAACTGAAAAACAGTGGGTTAACCCCCAGACGATTTTCATTGCATCGTCATGGTTGTAATGGAGGGTTTTGAGCGTATATTTCCTTGTTACTTGTTACTTTATATAATTTTGAATTCACAAAAGGAAACGTTTAGATAGAAAGCTTATTTTATTTTAGATTATAATTTGTATATATTATAGAAAACAACATAATTTAATATTTAATAGAATTTATTCCATGCTATAGATATTTAAGCACATTTCCCGTCCCCGCTGACCACTGTGGCCTTGCCCACACATCGTCGAACCGCTGAAGCTGGCTAATTTATCACTGGCATTCACATTCACATTCACGCTTCGGTGTGCTCTATTCCACCTATATGGGTGTATATATGGGTATATCCCCCCACCCAGATCCATATCCATATCCATACTGCGCGAGTGACATTATTACTGTCACACTGTGTCGCCCGATGCTGCTCCTCTGCCGCTTTTATAATGCATTTATGCTGCAATTTGTTTGAATTAGCGCGGCAGCATCTTGGAGTGGACCCGAGTCTAGTCAGAGTGGACCCAAAAAAGGAGAGCTGCGGAGGCGGGTGGAGTGTCACCGGTTTTTGGGGCGTGTGTGGCAGCCAAGACTGGTACGAGTATCTTATGCAAGCAGAGTTAAAAAAAAAACTAACAAAAATAAGGAAAAGAGATTGGTCTAAAGTAAAAGTAGCTGCATTTACCCAGTTGCAACACATTTTACGGAGCTGCGGAGAGTTGAAAGCTTCCGGGCAGGGGCGTTGCCCATAGAAATGGGATGAATGCAGCAGCGGCGGCGGCTTAAATCCCCTCAAAAAAATAAGTATCTAAAAATTTCCACAGTATCTAGAGCACAATGCCGTGAACCACAGCAGTTTTCTTTTTTTTTTTTTTTAATGTGTTTATTATCTCAGCAAATATCGGTTTTACAACCGAATTTACAACCATTTCTAGATCGTGTCTTATCGGAGTCTTCATGTAAATATTTGCATCGGTGGCTGGTTTTGTTTTTCGGGTTCTTTGATAAGGTTTTACATCTTGCAAGCAAAGGTGCTGCTTAGTTTTGGTTATCTTATATTTCTGGACTTCCTTTTTGTTTACTGGAATTAGGGGATTTATGCATAAACAGTCTCTGTCTGAACAGCTTACTCTGCTGAGATGATATATTTATCCCAGAATAACACTCACCATAAATGAATCATATAAAACAGAGTATATTCCTTGATGGTTCTTTAATCTTTTTAGAGTTTTTCTTGACTTCTTTATGGTTTATTTAAGGAGGGGGTTTCCCCGATCTTTGTGTTGTATTTCAAAAGGTTTTCATTCCCTTTTTATTTATGATATGTTGCATTTCTTTCTGTTAAATTAAATTTAATAAAAGCACCGGAAAAAATATTAAAAAATATACAAGCTTTTCCCTAAGTTACTAGTTATAAATCCCTTAGAAATCTTTAGATATTCAAAGACTAGTTATACCTCATAATATGTTAAGATTACTATAGGCCTTTAGGCAAACTTTCCCCCTTTCAGACTAATTTGAACTCTCGCTTTATTCAAACTTCAATAATTAAAGCAATTAACCCACTAGTTAGTTAACCAATTTGCCTTAGGAAAATAATAACAAAAAAACTAATTCAAAAAGCTGGTAATCGAAGCTGGAGAATTGAGAACCGAGAGCCGAGAACCGAGAAGAAATGCGAGCGTGCCAAGCGGCGTTTTGTATCTGGATTGAGGTCTTGCCACAGTTAGCCGACCGAAGCGCAGTTATACCAATTCTCCATAGCATTCTCAGACTTACAGTGGGTCAATTCTGCACGCTCCACTCTCCGCACAAATCAATTTGTGGACTTGTTCTATAGATTCCCTCGATTCTCTTGATTCTCTCTATATTCTCCTCCATATGTATGCTCCTCACGTAGCCTGACTCACTCGTATTCATATTTGTAATCATTGTAATGAGCCATTTCTCCTAGTTACTTTCCTCTCTTGCTTACTTTTTTAATTAATTTTTCATTGACCATTGCGTGGCCGCCTTCTGTGTTCACTGTATGTACTTCCCCTGTACAGTGTTCAATCTGTAGGCCTGACAGCTGCGGCTCTGGAGAAAAGAGAGTCGGGAGCTTTTAATATTAATTCTTCGTTTCGGGGGCTTCGGGTACGCCTCTTCTGTGTGGCCTCCGGTTTCAGCCTTCTTCTGTCCGGCAGCTCCGACTTATTTGCTGTGGGGCCATCGTCAAATTTCGTATTGAAACACGAGACAGTGGGGCCAGACTTTGTGGGAATTGTTTTGGGGATCAAGAGAATTTCAAGTAATTTAAGATTGCAGGTGGATTTGTAGAGGGTTTCTAAGGTTTTTTGAAACTAAAACTGAAGGGTAAATGTAAAAGAGAATGAAAAGTAATATTTTTAAGGTAAACATGCTTAAAAGGTTCTTAAAAATCAATAGTAAGCCTTCATATTTTAACACTTTTAAGGGACTCTTGGTCTTCTTGTTGTTTTTAAAGCAAAGTAAACACAGAGAACAAACCACTGTCCACATCCCTGCCCTGACTCTGAGCTTTGTTATAAATTAAATTATTTTTCATGGCCATATATCTCGCCCATATTTATGTTCGGTACATATAGGCTGTATCTCGTACGGATATCGTTACACTAAATTGTTATGTCGGCCTCCCGAAACGGCAAGAATCCCGAACATGCAAGAGCAGAGGGCGTAAGCGATTTGTCTTTTGGTTAATTTTATTTTTTATTTTTCTTGCCGGCCCCTTGAGCCAAAGTACCGCTAAGGCCGCCGCCTTCTCCAGTCCTGATTCTGTATTTTTTTTTTTATATTTTTCATTCCCTGGTAATAAAGTAATTAAGGCCCTGAGACACTGTTCAATATTTCATCTCTCTCGGCGGCGGAGATTAATTGGGGCGGCGACCAGGGCACGCGGCCTTTACGATCTGATTTGCATTTAATTGGACTGCAATTCGCATGATTATGATTATGAACCGAAAAACTTATCAATTTTCGCTTAATTTTGGCACGAAAAATGTTTTCTTCTTGAAAAAAAATCAGCGAAAGCAAAAAAGAAAAACAAGAAATGTGAGAGAGCCAAGCCAGATAATGAGAGCAATAAAAACCATTTGTTGATGACTTTTAAATAAGCAATTTGTTGTTGGTTTTTGTTTTTTTGAAGAAGACGAAATCGGCTGCAATTGCACTGGGAGAAATATATAGTAAAAAAGCTTCTTTTTATAATTTAAGTGCTTTCTAAGCTTTGTTTTTTAACCTACTGGTTTTTATATTTTTCTATTTATATTGAAAGAACCTTTATTTTTCCCTATTTTTACAAATATTTTCTCTCAGTGCACCTTTTCTTATATTTTCTTTTGTTAACTGTAAAACGTTTTACTTTCGCGCTCATTTTAATTGCCGCCTGCTGCTTCTGATGGTTTTTATACCCTTGCAGGGTATTATAATTTCAGTCAGAAGTTTGCAACGCAGTGAAGGAGACCTTTCCGACCCTATAAAGTATATATATTCTTGATCAGCATCAACAGCCGAGTCGATCTAGCCATGTCCGTCTGTCCGTCTGTCCGTCTGTCCGTCCGTCTGTCCGTCTGTCCGTCTGTCCGTCTGTCCGTTTCTACGCAAACTAGTCCCTCAGTTTTGAAGCTATCTGAATGAAACTTTGCATATAGTCTTCTATATACTCTCACTGCTATATATGTCGGAACGGGCCCGATCGGACAACTATATCATATAGCTGCCATACAAATGTTCGATAAATTTTTAGAAAAAAAATTATAACTTGGCTGTTTTTCAACATTTTTGCACCATTTTTTAGATATCGCCATTGTATATTATTTCAGAATTTTGGTAAAAATTTTATGAATATCGGACGACTATATCTTATAGCTGCCATAGGAACGATCGGGAAATTAATAGAAAAAACATTATAACTTCGTTGTTTTTCAACCTATTTTTATCTACTCTGAGATATAAGCTTATATTATTAGTTCAGAACTTTGGTATAAATTTTATGA